CCGCCTCCTCCCTCCCGCTGTAACCCCCTCAGGTAACGCTCCACTTTACTGCGCTGAAGCCGAACTTTCATATACAATCATTAAGAACAGTGTCGTTGAACATCTAATTGCATCTCTCTGTTTACGGCAGCTCTCTCATTGCCATTATGAGGAAATCCTCCAAGGGAGGTAAAGGAACCCCCAAACTAGAGCAAGCCCCAGGTGATTGTCCCTACAGTGTGTTTTTATTCTGTTGCCCTGTTATTGGTATCTGGACAAACACATTCTCTCTCGATGCAGTGAATGAAGCAGTGGACGAAGTCAAAGTCAAAGCTGTCAATGAAATGATGGAGAGAATCAAACACGGCGTGGTTCTCAGGCCTGTGAAGAGTCAGGACACTAAGGTGAGGTTTTGAACCTGGACCAGAATTCAGATTTTAATTGACTCCCTTTATGAGTTTGAGTTTGAATCAAATTGGCCACACCCCACAGGATGTTGAATTGGAATGACAGGAAGAGGAATTTACCTTATTGCAATTAAAAGAAATTCAACACATTCACACAGTAGAGTGATTTAAGTCATTCAAACCAACAAAATTAGTGAGAAAAAAATGAATTAAGGTTTAAGGTTTACATTTGGTAAACCTGCTTTGTGTTGTTTGGCTCTATTTTGAAGACTTTGAGGTCAATTTGAGCATTCTATGAATTTTTTTCCTTCATGGTCTATAAAAATAAATATTCCAATAAATATTTCAAACATTTACCCTAGCACATTTTTATTTTATATTATTTATTTTATGTATATATATTTATTATGCTCACCAAGGCTGAATTTATTTCAGCAAAAAAGCAGTAACAAGAGTAATATTGTAAAATATCATTACAATTTCAAATAACTGTTTTCTATTTGAATATATTTTATGCAAAAACGGAATTTTCGGCATCATTACTCCAGTCTTCAGTGTCACACGATCCTTCAGAAATCATTTTAATGTGATAATTTTCTGCTCAAGAAGCATTTCTGATTATTATCTATGTTGTAAACAATTGTCATGATTAATATTATTGCTGAAACCATGATACGTTTTTTTTCAGGATTCTTTGATGAATAGAAAGATCAAAAGAACCAAATTTATTTGAAATAGAAATATTTTGTAACATTATAAATGTCTTTACTGTCACTTTTGATGAATTTATTATTATTATTATTATTAGTGTGTATGATAACAGGTCATTCATTTTGTAGAAATAAACATTATTAAAAAGTAAAATTAAAGCACTACTGTTCAGTTAATTTGATTTTCTAATTTCCTATTTAATTCTTCTTTCTTAAATTTAACTTACATGTCTGCATGTGTAACTGAATTGGAATTTTAAAGGAATTCCCGTTCCGTTCTAAATGCTACACCTGTAACACACTCACATTCTCACATTGGTTATGAATACAGTATATTGTGTATATCGTGTGCACTGATTGATGTTCTGTTATGTTTTCTCTACCCTGTACCATCATCTGCTGACCTGACCCCATGCTGTAGCTGCTTGTTAGTAATTTACAAGGGGGTTTTTTTATGCGTAATGTTTTGGTGATCTATATCACCAGTGTTATTTTAGTATAATTTATAGAATTTTATATTATTTATTAATATTTTGAACTAGCTTTTTTATATTCTAATTTTAGTATACGTTATGATTTGGTTATGTGTATTTTTCTTTTAATATTTCTATTTAGCTTTTAATTTATGTTTATTTATAATTTTTGTAATTTTACTACAACTTGAATACAACATTTATTTCAGTTACTTAACAAGGCAACATTTCTAATTTTAGTTTGCAAGTTTAAGTTTTTAATCTAATATGTAGCTTTATTTCAATTACCAGAACATTTTCATTATAATGTGATGATTTGCTGCTCAAGAAACATTTATTATTATTATTATTATTATTATTGCTGAAACGGTGATACATTTTTTCAGGATTCTTTGATGAATAGAACGTTCAAAAGAACAGCATTTATTTGAAATAGAAATCTTTTGTAACATTATATATGTCTTTACTGTCACTTTTGATTAATTATTATTATTATTGTTATTATTATTGAGTACCTCATAAGCTGTGTGTATGACAACATAGGTAATTCACGATGTAAAAATAAACATTATTAAAAAGTAAAATTAAAGTAATACTGCTCAATTAATTCGATTTCCAATTATTCTAATTTCCAATTAAATTATACTTTTTAAATTTAAATTACACTTCTGCATGATTGCAACTCAATTTCAGAAACTGATTTGGAATTCTCATTCAGTTCTATTTATTTTAGTTCCTTGACAACATTTCTAATTTTAGTTTTTCAAGTTTAAGTTTTTTCTAATATTTATATATTATTTCAGCTTTATTTCAATTACTAAAACATTTTTTTATAGTTTAAGTTAACAGTAACAACACTGATATATCATGTAATGTTATTTGGGAATTTTTTTATGATTTGATCATATAATTACGTTGTTCCTGATCCACAGCAGCCGAGCCCAGTGGCGGCAGCAGCAGCAGCAGCAGCAGTGGAGGAAAAGCACCAGGGAAGTGCAATGGAAGAGCTGAAAGGCATTCTGGTAGGCACCTGATTAACAGCTGATTACGAGTCCAGCTATTGATCCACAGATTACAGAAATTTATCCATTTTCTGTTTGTTTACAAAAAATAGTTCAATGATGATTATAATCTGTCCAGTAGTATTAGTTGCACAAATACACGTATAAAATATACCAAAATACCGTTTGCTCGGAAATGCCAAATTGCGAACTAAGCACTGAAACTTCATTCATGAAATTCTGTTTTCTCTCTGAATCTATAGGAGACGGTGAAGAAGAGTCCCAGTCGTGGTTTCCAGGAAGTAGTTCATGCTAAAAAGGACAGTGAACTGGAAGTAATTCTGAGGAGGAGACGCAAACAGGCCTGTGATCCTGACACAGAAGGCAAGAGGATAAACGTCGCCCTTCAAGAAGAACCCATGAAATTGAAGCGCATACATTTACTATGTATTTACTATGGATGTGCGCTACGACAAATTTCAGTCATTTAAACGGACATTTTATAACTGACTAGTCGACTAGTCTAAAAGTAAGAAACCCTCAAAAACACTGTAGCCGTGTCTCATTTCGGAGCGGAGGTCGCATTTGAAGGCTGCATACATCATCGGGGCAGTCTCATTTAAGAAAAGTAACCATTAAATTGCAAAGTAAAAAAGAAATTGCAGCATTTTACACCTCACAAGGAATAAGTCAATTTGATTGCGGTTACTTTTCTTAAGACATCCTTGATGACGTATGCAGACTACAAATGCGACCTCCGGAGGACGCAGCTTGTGTGTATATGCGATTGATTTGAAATACTTAAACTATGAATCAAAGTGTCAAATAATCTGAATTCATCTTATTTTCCATCAAACAGTTCAAATTTACAAGTGCTGGCAACAGACGGGCTGAATGAAAATGCAAGTTCACTCTCTGACAGCAGGTGGCGCTTTTGGCCAAGCAGAAATACAGTGCTAACCATGGTTACTCCTGTAAACAAAGCAGTGCTGCACATATAACCAACCTTTTATTAGGCATTATATGGTGATAACGTGAAAAAATGTCAACAAAAACTTTCTGATGAAAGTAATTTCCCTTTCGTTCATAATGTTTCCCACTTTAAATGGGTACATACGCTCCCACAGTGACATGAAGGAAACACATGCATGCCAGGTGAAAAAATGACCTTTTCCACTCCAGATATCCACTTTTCAAAATAATGTATTATTTTTAAAACATAACATTAAAATGCCTACATTCCGACTAGTCAACTAGTATTTCCAATGTCGACTAGCAACTGCAGTTCCGTTTAATCAACTAGTTGACTTGTCTTGCATATTTAAACAGGAAGTGTGACATACAGTACTTTATCAATGGGCTTTTATAATAGCTTGCAGGTTTTAGTTGACAGCCATGAATTTGCTACTTTCTATTGCTTAGTCAAAGATTTATGATTGGGCAAAATGACTGTAGGACAAAATTGGATGGAAGATTATTGAAAATACTGTAAGCATACTGCATATCTTGAGCAAATAATGACAGTCTTTCATCTGTTGCTCTTGTAGATGATGGGCAGCTGAGTAAAGTCTCCTCATCAAACAGCCTGAACGGCCGACACAGTTCTGACTCTGGCAAAGACACAGAAGGGCCGGGAAGCAGCTCTCTGTCGGGCAGCGAGCGCGGATCAAGAACCAGCTCAGACTCGGGCCGAGAGCCAGCCGTGGCTCGACAGAGCTCCGATTCTGGCATGGAGTCCAAAGGAGCCGCTCAGTCAGAGAATGTCTGCAGATCTCTCTCTGAGAAAGAGCCCGCTGAACCAGTCACCAACGGGTGCTGTTCAGGGTAAGGTTATGCTACACAACTTGTTTGTTCATCAGTCAGCCACAATAAATCCATTTAAGGAACATTTCACCCAAAAATGAAAACTTGCTTAAAAATGTACTCACCCTCAGGCCATCCAAGATGTAGATGAGTTTGTTTCTTCATGGGAACAGATTTGGAGAAATGTAGCATTGCATCACTTGCTCACCAATGGATCCTCTGCAGTGAATGGGTGCCGTCAGAATGAGAGTCCAAACAGCTGATAAAAACATCACAATAATCCACAAGTAATCCACAGCACTCCAGTCCATCAGTTAACATCTTGTGAAGTGAAAAGCTGTGTGTTTGTAATAAACAAATTCACCATCACTTCTGGCCAAAATATCAGTCCAGAATCCATAATAACGCTTCCTCCAGTGAAAAAGTCTATCCCTGTAGTCGTCTCACATCAAAATCCACCAACATATTTGTTTAGAACTGTTTTTGCTTGTAAACGGTGTTTGATCTGTGCATATTTCTCTCCCGATTAAGACAAGACAACTTTTTCACTGGAGAAAGCTATATTATAGATTATGAGCTTGTATTTTAGCAATGGATTAAAGTTAAAACGTCTTAATAATGCATTTGTTTATTACAAACACACAGCTTTTCACTTCACAAGACATTAACTGATGGACTGGAGTGGTGTGGATTACTTGTGGATTATTGTGATGTTTTTAACAGCTGTTTGGACTCTCATTCTGACGGCACCCATTCACTGCAGAGCATCCATTGGTGAGCAAGTGATGGAATGCTACATTTCTCCAAATCTGTTCTTATTAAGAAACAAACTGGCCTGAGGGTGAGCACATTTTCAACAAAATGTCATTTTTCTGTGAACTATTCCTGTAAGATTGTTACCTATTTTGCCAGATGTTATGATCTGTGTTTAATTTTGTTATATATTTTTTCTTATACTTTTCTAATCAGTGAAATGAAGGATGGCGATCCAGAGAAGTGGGCGGGGCCCAATGGGATTGGCTATATGGATGCAAGTAACGTCCTGCAAACCACCATCAGCTCCTCTGCACAAAGCCCCAATGCAGCAAACAGTAGCACAGACGCCGAGTGTTAACAGCAAGTGGCGCTGCAAGGACAGCTGCATTATTTGCACAAAACCATGCTTTCTAAATTTGTTTATTCCAAATTTGAAACCAACCATTCATATTTTAAATGAATATAGAAAGATCATTTCATCAATTGCAGCTTGAAAAAAAAAAAACATTTTACCAGACGACACATTTTTTTTTCTTTCAGCGTAAATGTACTGTATCTGCCTTTACCAATAAACACAGTGTGTTTAGACGTTAGAGACATCAGTCACATGCTTCAGATTCATTCTGCACAGTAGGTACTATTAGATGCATCTTGGATTCATAGATTCAACATCTGAGTCACATTTCCATTAGAATGCAAGCAAGGAAACTTTAATGATGAAGAGTGTAATTAAGTTCTGTGCCACTAGCAGCAGTATCTGAGCAAGGAGGATCTGTAATACTTGGAGAAAATGATCCATTAAAGGATTAGTTCACTTCCAGAATAAAAAATTCCTGATAATTTACTCATCCCCATGTCATCCAAGATGTTCATGTCTTTCTTTCTTCAGTCAAAAAGAAATGAAGGTTTTTGAGGAAAACATTCCAGGATTTTTCTCCATATAATGGACTTCAATGGGGATCAAGGGGTTGAAGGTCCAAATTGCACTTTCAATGCAGCTTCAAAGGGCTTCAAGTGCAAGATGTGCATTTGTGGTTAAAAAGTATATACATTTTACATTTTTTAAGAAAATGATTGTTTCGCTAGATAAGACCCTTATTACTAGGCTGGGATCATGTAGGGCCCTTTGAAGCTGCACTGAAACAGCAAATTTGGACCTTCAACCCCTTGATCCCCATTGAAGGCCACCATTGAAGTCCATTATATGGAGAAAAATCCTGGAATGTTTTCCTCAAAAACCTTCATTTCTTTTCGACTGAAGAAAGAAAGACATGAACATCTTGGATGACATGGGGATGAGTAAATTGTCAGGAAATTTTTATTCTGGAAGTGAACTAATCCTTTAACAGTCCCGTTCATCTCAGTTCATCTGAGACCTAGCAGAGCCTCATGGATGTACGTGATTTATGAGCTGCCATCTTTGCAACCACCGTCCTCAATCGCCCTCATGTCGTTCCAGACCTGTATGACTTTCTTTCTTCTGATAAACTATTTTGAGAAATGTCTCACTGTTTTTTTCCACAATGGAAGTCAATGGGGTCCAAAACATCACTAGACCCCACCGACTTTCATTGTATAAAAAGCAGTTTCTTTTTGTTTCACAGAACCATCCCTCAAACTATCCCTTTAAGAAAGATGCATTTTGCATGCTAACAAGTCATACCTTGGTGCCTTGGGCCCAATTGACAACACTGGCTCATCCAATGGCATGAGTTTAGGGCAGGACGACTTGTTATAACAATGCCAGATGCTGCTAGTAGCACAGAATATACTTCTGATTCAATGCAAAGCAGTAAAACAATCCTGACAGAATCACTGCACTGCACATCATGGCACCTTTGCTGTTACAAAAAGGTCCTAAGTGTGGACTAGCCTATCCAAATTAATCAAGAGATGCAATTATAAGCCATTCAAGTGATTCTTTCCATAAAGAGGAACTGTTGTGATCTTTTCTGTTTACCTCTTAAGACACACTCCACCTCTTGGGGATCTGAATCGTACATCCTAGATGTTAGGAAAATACCATCGAATCATGGAGGTCTTCCACCCATTTCCAAAACTTTGCACTGCATGAATGCACTGTAGAAAAGTTTGGCTTTGATCGACAGTTGCGTCTTGATTAGATCTGCTCACTAATTCTGAGCTGTTCCAATGCAATATAATCTGCAAATTGTAATGTTGTGCAGGATCAGGCTGCCTTTAATAACTGCGAATATTTGCCTTGTGATTCCTCTTGACTCGAAGTGGATCATTTTAATGGTACGATGTGGAGAATATTAATGAGACTGCAGGGTTCTGGCCATCTAAGTTGTCCTGGTCGTATTGCTCAGCTAACAGGGAACGTTCGTAGAACTTTGGCTAACGCTCTGGCAAGGTTCTCTCAAGGTTATGAACAATTGTTCTTTAAGTAGCATTAATAGAACGTTCGTTTATTGTTATCTGGTCTTTCATAATGTTCTCAAAACTTTAGCATCTTTCATGGAACGTTTTATTCATTTTAGTTGGATGTTAACCTGTTTTGCTACATAATACTTGTTTCAGAACGTTCAGAGAACATTGTAAGTAACATTCCCATAATGTTTGCAAAATGATCAAATGGAATGCATAACCAAAACATTAAAAAAAAACGGAACATTTTGAATGCTAACCCTCTGGGCTTCTTTGGTCGGAACTGAGCAAATGTAGAATTTGTCATTTTTTTTTACTTCATTGAAATGGGATGACACTTGGTGACTTTTGTCACATTAGCTATGTTTACACACACACAAAATAAAAATCATGGACATGATTTGGATATGTTAAAGGGTCGAAAAATTTTAAAAAGTTACACTTGGTACCTTCGCGGTCAAAAATGACGGTGGAAAAAATAGCTCATAAAAATTGTGATTGTGCAAATATTCTATAAATATTCCTCAAAATTCTAAACAATAATCAAAAAATATTACTGAACAAAAATATATTACATTAACATTTAAAAAAGTTCGATTTCAAGGCTTCGGTCACTTTTGACTGTGAAGGTACCAATTGTGACCAAAAATGAATAGGCCCAGAGGGTTAAGAGGACATTCAAAGATAATATTTTCGTAACTCAATGGGAATGTTAGCAAAATGTTCTAAAATTATATTTTTGTTAGCTGGGTGGTCTGACGTCTTTGATATCAGGCTGTCTAACAACTGCAATAATATTTGACACGGACGATAATTGTGGTTGCAATTATGCATCACTTTTCAGAAAGTCTGAATTGTTTTATTATATATTCTTGTTTTCACTCTGTCGTCACAAGTGATTCTAATAACCCACATTGATGTGACTCATTTACACTCTTTTTTAATGTTGTTTAAATTGCTCCTTGATTTTCACCACCTCTGGAATGTGTTTTGGCCTTACTGTATTCACCACTTCTTCCTTTTCAGCCTGCCTTATTGGAGTGTAGGCTTGATTTTGTATAAGAACTCTTGAGAGGTGATTGATCTGGCTTGTGATGAGTGTGTTTTGAAGCTTAAACTGAGTGTAACAGTTTTTATTTAAATTGATCTAAATCTCCCTCTTCGACATATCTTTTAGACGACTGAATAAACTTATGAAGAAATACAGACTGTTTTCTGTACCTTTTTTTCTATTTTGCAAACAAATGCATGTCAGCTCCATATCTCATCATTCAACTTTTTTAATAAGACACAGAATTTGTACCTTAAACAACATGCTCAAATCTTTCTTTAAAGTTTTTAAGTAGTTGGTCTCTATTCTCTAAGTAGGGACTTTGAGTTCAGTTTAACATTGTGCAGTTAAACAAAAGAAAGTGCAAATCATTACAAAGAGTGCATTGAAATATACATGAGGGCATTAGCAGGTAATGCAACTGGATCTGCCAGTGAGAAACAGAGCCTGGCCGTGTGAAGAGAGGAATGGCAGGAGTTGAAAGAGAAGAAAAGAAGACTCAGCAGCACAAACTTTTAGGTTGGAGTGGAGAGTACAGCATGATCATACACATATAATGCTGGAGTTAACTTGTAATCAAGCTTGGTATTGTAAAGTTGACCAGATTTCTGAAATGGAAATCGGAGACATCTGAACTAAGACGATCTTAGTTCAGTGGCCAAAATATCATTGAAATCTCACTTGCTATAAATGAATTACAAAAATGGGGACAATACATTTTTGAATGTTTGTGTGTGTGTTACAATTGTTACAATTAATAATTATGATGTCTGTGGGTCAAACTGGCTCTAAAATGATTTTAATACGATTCACAAAAATCACACATGTGATAAATAGTAAATAGTAACCATTTCCAATAACAAACAGAATAAAACAAAATTAGGACTTTTAGAATTGTTTAGTCATAATTATGACTTTTATGGCATAATTGTTAATTTTGTCTTACAAGTTACACATTTTATGATAATTATGACTTGGTATGTCATCATTTTGACTTTTTATTTCATAATATTGACTTTTACTTTATCAGAATACTTACTTTTTATGAGTTAATTTTGTCTTTTTATCTCATAATTATGACTTTATATCTCATAATTTTGACATTTTATGCTGTAAATTAGACTTTTTATCATAATTATGATACAGTACCTTATAATTTTGACAATTTATGTTATAATTATGACTTAGTATGTCATAATTTAACCTTTACATCTCAGAATTTTTACTTTTTACAACATAATTAAGTCTACTTTTTGTTTCATAATAGATATAGTATCTCATAATTATGATAATTTGTGTCATAATTATGACTTTTCATTCCTCTCGTAATTATCTCATAATTTCATCAATTTAAGTCATAAATACAGTATGACTTTTTATCTCATCATTTTTACATTTTACGTCATAATTTCAACTTTTTCTCTCATAATTATGATATAGTATCTCATAATTTCGACAATTTATGTCAAAAATATGACTTTTTATCTCATAATTATGCAAGGGCATAGAATTTAGTAGGGATGCTAGGGACATGTCCCTACCAACATCCAGCGACTACTAAATTGTCCCTAGCAATAATTTTGATCAAACAATTAAATATATGTTTATGTAACCACTGTTATTGTAATGTCGGCCGCATCTGAAACAGGTCATACCATTGATATCACCTGAGAAGTTCAAGTAAATACACTAGAAAACCGCTTGCTTCCAAGGACGCACATTTAATACATGGCTGGAGTAAGAACATATAATAGAGCCGAAGTGTTTAAAACATACGTGCACGGTTCAGATGAATGATAAATTTTACCCTCTTTAACTCTGTGTTGTTAAACTGAATGTACAAAGCAAACTGTTAGCTGAAATATCAAATAAGAGTGTGCAGTTTATCTGTCAATCAGATGCATTTATAATATTAAAATAAAATGATATACAGCCTAATTAAGACACCAAGAGCTCTGATGCTGCTGCAGTGTTGTTGGTTTTACATAATCAAAATTGTGTGATTATTTTCTGATGAATATGCTAACATAACAAGCTCTCTTTATGAATTATAAGCAGCCTATGTTGGCTACAATAGCAATAAACTTTAGATGACATGAAACTGTGGTCAAAAGTTTATCATACATGTGAAAATGTTTGGGTAGATGGATGGGGAGGGGGTGTTGTCTGCTGTTATGTCCCCACCAATGTCAAAATCAAACCTACACCCTAGTAATTATGTTTATCAAAGCATGTTTTATTTATCTTCTGTGGCTGAAATGGGCTTCCATCTATCATTTAGGCTTCAGTATGTCATGTCACTCCCGTACACTAGGTGGCGGACAGTAACTTACGGGTCAGGATGCAGCTTAAATACACGGCGAAGGAGCAGCAAGCATGGCGTCCTCATATCATCAGGAGATGCAG